CACTAAGGATGAGAGACCTATCCGAGGTTGTATATTAGAGCATTTGCTCGATTACATTAACATCTATGGAATAGGTCAAATTGGATCCCTCTGGGATCGATTTTTCCTTGATTGGGAGGGGGTGAATGCCGCAATCCCGAATCAAAGGTGAAGAATGATCTATCTTTAGACCGTTATTGCCTTTTTGATTTCAAAATTAAGACCTTGCCCAAGAAGTAGAAGTCCAGTAAAAGACTGTACGTGGCTTGAAATTTATCAGAAGCTTCCTTGCATTTGTCGAGAGTTTTCTTATATATTGTCTTTATTTTAGAAGTCTTGAGGGATCTTCTTAACTAAAATTGTAGTCAAGGTTGCCCCCTAGTCCGGATCATATTCCATGAAATTAATGCATCAATAGCAGCCGAATAACCTTTTGAGGTTGGAGCTAAAATTATCCCCAGTTGAGAAACACGTTCCCATAGACGGCATCAAATTGTTGAGTCGAGGGGTTGAGCTCCGAAAGTAACAAAATTGAGTCCAAAATGTTGAAAAGTGTGTCTAGGGACCCAAAAAATATTGAATTTAAACCGTCCGGGCCAAAAATTGGGCCAAATTTGAACCGCCCGGGCTAAAAAAAAAATTTATGGGGCCCACTTGATATTTTTAAATTCAAAAATTTTTAAAAAAATGCAAAAAAAATCCAAAAAATTATGAAATATTCAAAATTATTTTAAAAATTATGGAATCTTGCAGAAGCTTCTCTTTTCCTCCAAAAACACTACAAATATCACCCAAGGCCATAGGAAAATTTGCACCATCTTGTTTTCTCTTTGTTTCTTTCTAACAGTTGAGCCTTTTCGTTGTTTTTCAGTAGGTGACTTTCCCTACCTGAATCGGCGCCCCTCCTCTTGTACAGAAGTTAGAATTTTCTTTTCTTTCTCTCCTGCTTTTCTTCTTGCTATAGAGGCCTTCCACTATTTTTTGTAGGTGACTTTCCCTACTTAAATCGGCACCCCTCTTTAATGTAAAAGAAAATTTTTTCTCCTTCCGATGTCTTCTCTTTTGGATATCTTCTTACAATCGAGGTATTCTGTTATTTTTCGTATGTGATTTTCCCTACTTAAAATGACTCCCCTCCTCTTGTACAAAAGTTAGACTTTTTCATCCTTTTCTTTTCATTCTCCTCCCTAATTATAACTTTCTTACAGTTGAGGTATTCCCCTGTTGTTGTAGGTGACATCCCCTACTAAAATTCAAGGCCCCTCTCCGTGTGTAGAAGTTAGAATTTTTGTAGTCATTTCTTTTCTTTCTCCTCCCTCATTCCAACTTTCTTACAGCTAAGGCATTCCCCTGTTTGTTGGTTGCGGCATCCCCTAATAAAATTCAGGGCAACTCTTTGTGTGTAGAAGTTTAAATTTTTGTAGTCATTTCTTTTATTTCTTCTCCCTCATTTTAACTTTCTTACAGTTGAGTCATTTCCCTAATTGTTGTAGACAGCATCCCCTACTAAAATTCAGGGCCCCTCTCTATGTTTAGAAATTTGAATTTTTATATTCATTCCTTTTCTTCTTCTCTGGTCTTCTTTTTTACATTAGAGGCATTCCACTGTCGAAGATAGGCAGCATTCCCCTATCAAGCTTAAGTTCCCCTCTTTTGTGTTGAAGGAGATGTTTTCCTTCTTATTTTTTCTTGCGTTCTTCCTTTACATTGGAAGCATTCCACTGTCAAATGTAGGCGACATTCCCCTATCAAGTTTCAATGCCCCCCTATTGTGTAAAAGAAGTCGCGATGAGAGGCTATCTTCTTAATAGATAACCAGAAGTGATAAAGAGATGGGGAGAATTTTGATACTACTTGAGCGAAAGTCTATCGGTGATGGATGATCGAATTGAAGTCCTTGGTGGTCAACAGATGAGTGTAGAGCTGAAAGAGAGAATTTGAGGGTGCGATGCAAGTAGCAGTCAAGCGATAATTCGATGATGACTAAATTAAAGGACCAGCGACAAATCTTAAATGAAGGGCCAATGATCTCGGATGTCCAGTGGCATTTTGCTAATATAATATGCATCCATATGATAGTTTGCCGACATCAGATATCCTTGATTCTAGGAGCCAAAGTAGTGTGTTATGTTAGTAGTCCGGCGACACATTTATAATGTCAACTGAGTTGAGGCCTGATGAAGATCAAATTATAATCTTTTATTGAAGAAGAAATTGTAAAAGTTTATTGTGTGAAGTAGAGAAGAGTTCAATAAATCTACTAAGGATATTTGAATGTTTTGAAGTTGCTTGTTGTTTGATGATTATAACTTGTACAACTGATTTCAAAGTACTTTTTACTTTCAGATTCTTGTAGAAATAAACTTTTTGTATAAATTTTTGTAATGTAACTCTAGTGATATTGTATATGAAATTGAGATCTTATCCCTTAGAGGAAATTAAATTGTTTATACATCTTTGAGTCATGCTCTGATATATTTCATAATATACTATTTTGAGACTTTTTAGCTTGTTAAAAATTTTAGCAGAAGATGTCGAGAGAATCCACAATGGATGTGAGACATATCCAAGGTTGTATGTTGAAGCCTTTGCTCGACGACGTTAACATGTATGGAAGTGGTCGAGAGAATTCACAAAGAATGTGAGACCTATCCGAGATTATATGTCGGAGCCTTTGCTCGAGGCCGTTAACCTGTATGGAAGAGGTCGAGAGAATCCACCAAGGATGTGAGACCTATCCGAGATTATATGTCAGAGCATTTGCTCGACGACGTTAACCTGTATGAAATAGGTCGAGAGAATCCACCAAGGATGTGAGACCTATCCGAGATTGTTTGTCGAAGCCTTTGCTTGATGACGTTAACCTGTATGGATAAGGTCAAGAGAATCCACAAAGAATGTGATACCTATCCGAGGTCATAAGTCGGAGACTTTGCTCGATGACATTAACCTATATGAAAGTGGTCGAGAGAATCCACCAAGGATGCGAGACCTATCCGAGGTTGTATGTCGGAGCCTTTGCTCGACTAGTTAACATGTATGGAAGAGGTCGAGAGAATCCACCAAGGATGTGAGACCTATCTGAGGTTGTATGTCGGAGCCTTTGCTCGATGACGTTAACCTGTATGTAAGAGGTCGAGAGAATCCACCAAGGATGTGAGGCATATATGAGATTATTTGTGAGAGCCTTTGCTCGACGAAGTTAACCTGTATGAAAGAGGTTGAGAGAATCCAACAAGGATTTGAGATATATCCGTTGTTGTATATCAGGGCCTTTGCTTGACGACATTAACTTGTATGGAAGAGGTCAAATCGGATCCACCTGGGATCAATTTTCCCTTGATTGGGAGGGGCCGAATGTCGCGTGTATCCCGAATCAAAGGTGAAGAATGGTCTATCTTTAGACATTTACTATCTTTTTGTGGTTGAAATTAAGACCTTGCCTAATAAGTAGAAGTCCAGTAAGGGACTGTACGTTGCTTGAAATTTATCAGAAGCTTCCTTCCATTTGTCGAGAATTTTCTTATATATTGTCTTAGTTTTAAAAGTCTTAGAAGGATCTTCTTGACTAAAATTGTAGTCAAGGTTGCCGCCCAGTCCGGATCTGATTCCATGAAATTAATACATCAATAGCAGTCGAATAACCTTTTGAGGATGGAGCTAAAATTGTTCCCAAGTCGAGAACCACGTTCCCAAATATGGCACCAAACTATTGCGTCCATAGGTTTTTGCGGGGGCAGAGAAATATACAATTTAGCTTATTAGCGTTGTACGAAAATCTGGCACGCAATCAGATAAGAGAGAGGGTCTAGCGAAGTTCTTACCTAGAGGTGCGGCAGACAGAATTCCACCGTCACTTGGAGGTCGGGTGGAATTCCGGCGTCGTTCAGATAGAATTCTGGCATCGGTGGTAAAGGAGGAGTTCTTCCCTCCTAATCTTCTTCTCTTCTCTTCTCATTCTTCTCTAGCTATGATCCCCTCTCATGATAAATGAGGGGTCTATTTATAGATATTCTGGAGTGGCATGACCTGTAAATAAGAGGATCAAAGGAAAATGTGTAGTGGTTTGATGGACGGTCGATATTGAATCCCTTGATCGTGTACCGTTCATCAAACATTTGAAGATCTTAATGATGTTGGAATATGGTGATCTTGGTCTCATTGGATTCGTCTCGTCGAGCCGCTCGATTTGAATATAAGTACGTTATGTTAGGAAACTGTTTGGTAACCCAAATTGTGGTTCGAACCTTCCAATAGTGCTTCAGGTCTTTGATTCAGGCCCATTTGGGCTTGGATTGCGTTGAATTTGGTGTCATTGGATTTGTATTTCTAAGACACTCAGTTTGACTGTAAGTTTGCTGAAATCAAAGTTCAAATGCTCCCTGATTTAATTTTGAAGTCTCTGACTTGATTTTGCCTCGAGATTCGTGCCCGATCAAGATAATTTTTTAATGATATATCAGAGACATTTTTTTTATTGCTTCTTAAAATATAATTTTAGTACAAAAAGTTATACTAAAATTCTGTTTTAAGAAATAATAGAAAAAGTCACCCGCAAACAAAGCCTAAATTTTGAGTACTTTTTGCTTATGGAATTAAAATTTTTTTGGCCAATATTTATGTTTGTTCATTTAGCATTTTACAGTATATTTTGCAATCTTCTCCCATTATTCTGTTTGAGTTCTTTGTTCATCTTTTATAAGACTTTTTTAAGGTCAATGAAATTATACTTTGCCCCAATGTTTTAAAAATTGGATCGAATCGGTCGGTTCAATGGGTTGATCGTGGACTGATTCGCCAGACGGTTCATAATTTTGTAAAAATCGCCTTAGACATGAGCCGAATTGAAACGGCTTGAACCGGCAATTTAATTGATTAACCGATGAATCGGTGCCGATTTTCAAGAACCTAGGCTAATATTTAATTAAAAGAAATATTTAATAAATTTATTATTAATAAAAAATGACAATAAATATTTCCCTTTTTTGTCATTGTGAATCGTTCTCTCTTGAATTTGTGGAGCGTCCTGGCGGGAAAATTTTCTCAGCTGGCAATCAAAATGGGGAAAAGGAAGAGGCCTAGGGTATCGGAAGAAGAAGAACATCGACCCGATCAGGAATCCGGAGGCGGACGTGAAGAATCGGACGCAAGAGAGAAGAGCTTGTACGAGGTCTCACATATATATTCTCTATGAACCTTCCGTCTTAATTTCTATATCTGCATACCTTCTAAATTATAGTCACTGTAGTGATTCATTTGCTTTGGATTTAATCGTTTTATGTGACATGTTCATTTGAAGCGGACGTTGGGTTGAGGAGGTATCGGGTTGGGTAAGCTAATCTGTAAAACAAATGGACGGCAAGAGGTTTGTATGGATGAGTTGTTTGCTGAACATATAAAATAGAATTTAACTAATTTCTTAATGTTTAATAGTGAAACATTCAGTTTAAGTGGATCAGGTGCAGCGAATCAGAAAAGAAAGCTTCTTGATGTTTGGAAGAACTAGGTTCCAGAGTACGAATGGTATTGTGATCAAAACCCGAGGAGGAGAAAACACAGACTCTAAGAGCAATCTAGAAGATTAGTATCTTTTTTCATAAGATCCTGTTTAACTCATCAAAAGATTTGATACTATATGACAACTTTAGAAATTATGGAAGTATTCATAAGAACATCTGAACAAGATTTAGGGTTTGTTCAATTGATTGTTTTGCTTAGCTCATCCTAGCATAGTTTATTTTAATGTTTACAAGCTTTATAAGCAAGTATAGGAGTTAGTTTGTTTGTTATGTAAAAAGCTAAAAATTTTAGCAAGCTTTTTTTTTTGGAATTTGGGGTATCTACCCGTTGCCACTCTAAAGGGAGCGCTTGGTGGCACATTTAATCCCTCGGTGGAACCTAGTGAAGCCTCCCACCAGCATCGGACCCACACTTGTTTTGTCCCACTGAAGAGGCGACACCGTAGTAGAGGGGATTCGAATCTTAGATGGGGGGTTACCAACCATGCTTGCCCACCAACCACCTTAAGCCTCGGTGGGTTTTTAGCAAGCTTTTAATTTACCAGCATTCTCTTTTACTGACCATTTCTAATTATTCTTGGTTATTGTGCAGTATCCTAGTAGTTACCTACCACATACCTTACTTGGTGCAATTCAAATTTGCCACAGTTTATCGAATGAGGCCATCCACAATAGTACCCGGTTTCAACGCACTCATATCTACTAATACACTACATTATTCCATCACATGATCCTATTGGCATTAAACATGAAATACTCATACTGAATACGTTAACATAATATCATGTCTTGAGGGAACAGCTCTAGTGCCACGTCATTGATGGTGTACAAGGACTTGTGCTGCTGCCTGTCGAAAGCATGTGGAATTGCTCTCCTTGAAGATCTTAAAAGATCTTAACAGCACAATCAATTTCCTTCCTGTTTCATTAAAAGGGGAATGCTTATAGTATTGGCAAACAAATAAAATAGTTCCCACTATAAATAAGCATCAAAGTAAAGTTAGCAGCAGCAGTTTACGGTCTATGTAATAACATTCAAAAAGCAAACATAAAATTAGCAGATAAATGTGCACAGGCTTCTAATACAAGCATTTAACATCCTAGCGAGCTTACAGGACAAAGAATATAGAATATTTCTTTCAGCATAAGAAATTCAGGCAAAGGTGGAGGATGAATAAACATTCCATGCTAGCATTGGATGACAAGTGCTTTCCTAATTGCAATACATGAATATTAGCTATATTAACGAAGTCATGTGACACGATTGAAAGTTTTGTGGGGACTCACATGGGCTTCTCTTAGCAAAGCAAGACCAAAACATTGTCTAACATGACTATGAGTTGCTACTTATTTATATTCATAATGGTATAGCCAAAGGTTACCTTATTTAGAGGATCCTTTCATAAGAAGACTTTTCTTATATGATGGAATTCCTTGTGATCATTTTTTGGATTACTTATTTTTCAATTTCCTTGAAAGCGTAAAACCTCTAATAAATAGAGGATGCTTTCATGGTGTAACAATACTTGTGAATTGTGGGCTCCGAAAATTCGGCCCCGGCCTCCCCGCCGCGCGATTTCTTTTTATTATTTGAGCGAGGGGAGTTTTAACGAAATAAGTTCCGGGGTAAATTTTGGAAGGCAGATGGGTTTGTAGATAAGACACTACCCAGAGATTTCGCCCTCATTTTGTGAGGACTTTATGATCTGAGTTCTGGTTTCCTATAGGCGCAAGCCCCTATAGTCGTCGATCAGATACGTATAGAAATACGTGTTATCTGGTATATAGTAGCAGCAATGGGTTTGGATGTTGGTAGAAA